AGAAGCCCAACCGGAACACCCAGAGTACGCCAGGTCAAGGAAGGGGGGGGTGAAGGATTTAACACAGACAACGCAGAGAATGAAGGGACGACAACGACGAGCCCAGGTTCGTCAGGGGAGGCAATTAATCTTAAGGACAAATAATATCAGGGCCTCCAATCAACGAGGGAACAGGAAATAAAGGAAGGAAACCGAAGACAGCCGGACTAGAACCAAATGAAGGACGAACAAAACGAAGAGGAGAGAGAAGGGAGACCGATGATAGCATTGTGTTATACGTGACAAGAGGAGACGCAGTCAAGAGCGGGCACCCCCTGGACTGAAGGAGGGATCTTCCACTACGAAGCTGAGGGAAATAGAAGGAGGGGCTAAATTCCAAAGGGCCAACGCAGCGACTGATTAATGAAGGAAGGAGGAGTAGGACAGATGCGGAAGTTACGAGGGCCTGGTATAACCAAAACACCCCGAGAAGTTCAGACTGAGGAAGGACGAATAGAGGAAGATTAAATCCCCGGAGGGGTTAAGATAAACAGCTACCAGAGGAGGGAAGCGTCCCGAAGGGAAAGTAGGACGAAGAAAATCCCAAACAACAAGTAACTGGATCTACAAGGAGGAGCAACTAACAGTCCCAGCCAAGTAACGGCGGGTCAAGGCTGGATCTTTGGAGGAACAGCAACCAACATGGGGCAATTTCACAGGATTATGTTACATTGGGAACAAACAGCAAGACGAGAAAGGACCAAAACAGGAGATGTATACGCCGCAAACAAGATTGAGGATCTGAAATCGTACAACTACGAGGAGGAAGATGAAAGCATATCTAGGTGGCAGAAGATGGGAAAGAAAGGCGGTAGCATCCATCTATGGACCACACAAGCAGCGAAGATCATTTGCAGAAATCTGGAAGTCTGGTACCAAAATCTGACCCTTAGCGAAGAGGCTGAATCCGAATGGGAGGAGACAAAATGTAGGGGAGACAACTTAGGAGTGGAGGGATCCAGAGGAACTACCGTCGCATGCCCTATAGATCCAAGGCACAACTATTGGACAACACTGAGATTAGGGAAGAGTTTGAACGGCGCCAAAGAAGAGCACAGGAGTATGATGATATGCATGGATTTGATAGCAATCCTTCTCACCGTTTATAATAATCTAAGTAGATGTAAAGGAGAAGAACTATGCTACAATGAAACCGAAGTATGTAGAGCTCTTTATCAATGGTACGAAGAGTGGGGAGGACAACAAGTGGCAAAAGAAGTTATGCAGTTCCTTTTCCAGAATGAACAGAATAAGATGAAGTTGGGAAACAGAAATATAACGACAAACGGCACAGTCTCACAATTTTGGGCAAAAGTCACAGGATTTAGGGGATTAGGCTTGGCGGCCTTACAGTGTCAGGATAGGACGTGGCCAGGGACCAATTGGAGAAGTGCCTGTTACCACAAAAACAAAAACAGCGCTTGCGAGATTGTAGAAGATCAACAGTGGACAAATGACCAGGTAAGACCAGAGACCGAGAGAACTGAGATGAAGAGTAGCCCATGGCAAAAAGAAATAGGGAAGGAGGTCCTAGAGCCCCCGAGACGGAGCAGTCCAACAGGAGGATGCAGACAACCTGACCCCGCCCGTATAAGTCAAGGGGCTTAGGCGGCTGAGTAAGGATCTCCGGAATGCGAGATTGCGGGATAGGGGACCACCCCAAGCAACAAGGGAAGATGGAAACCCCAGGAAAGACGGATCAACTGAACCGAGCGGGGGGTCGAGTCCTCAAATAGAGAGAACAAAATCAGCCCCAGTCCCCCCATACAGGGCCAGGAGTTAAGATAGACAAACCAGGCAGGAGGATGAAATTGATGAGAAATTCCATCTTTTACAGGAAGAATCTCGAAGGATAACCCAACAGATAGAAGAGCAGAAGCTACAACTAAGGATGGAAACCGAGCAAATAAGTCCAATTCCAAACAGTCCCACTGTGGAAACCACACAAGGGTCTTCAGTCTTACCAAAAGCTTTAGGGGGGGGTGGAGTATTGGCATTTTCTGTTCCGTTTGCCTGGTATATCTGGAGAAGAGTCTTTAGTACCGCTGGAGATTCTCAAGGGCAGAAGCTGAGGTTAGCGTATGGGAGGGCATAAACCGAAACCAATGAAGAAGTATGGAATCCCCAACCTAAACAGGGAGGAGCACCTACGAGAGAATAGAAAAGGCGGATCCATCCCCCCCTCCCGGGGAAACAACCGCTTGACGGGAACAAGGAACAGAGGGAACGCCAAACAAACGGAGACGACAAGATCCGAGGAGATATGAGGTTGAGAAATTGACCCAGACACAGGACCCAGCGGAAGGAGGTAAACATGATAGCAGGATAGGTATGTCTAAGGGGTAGAGCAGCGTGAAACAAATTTATAAAATATCAGTGCCAAATCCAACAACAGAGGAGGTCACAAAGCACGGAACTAACAAGCTAAGAGGGAGCGACGTATTTGCCACAGACAGAAGGACAAGATAAAACACAGCCGGCTATTCTCCAGGAGCCTAAACCACGGAAGGACTAAAGAAAGGGGAAAATAAGTCCACACTACCACGATTGACAAAGACAAAATGGGCACCGCAGATCAAACTAGAGGAGGACAAGGACAAGTAATTACTCGTCATGAGTCTGAGAGAATCCCCCTACTCTGACTGGCCAGAGATAGTGGCTGCGAAGGTTGAGATCGCCGGCGCCTAGCTTGGGAGGAGGGGATGATCAGTACCTGACCGCGTCCAGCAGCACAAACCTCTGAAACCTACGGCCGAATCTGAGCCACCAATTAGGAGGATCAATCCGTAGAGCTTACGGAGGCCCGCACAGGATTCCTGGCAGAAGGGAAGAGTAACGGATCAGAAGATGGCAATATATCAGCGGCAGGAATGGATAGTTAACCCAAAGTGGGAGAAGAAGAAATCAGGAATCGGCGCCCGAGTCCCTTTCACAGACCAATATAACCGAGCGTTATGTTAATGTTATGGGCGTTTATGAGCGGGAGGATGTACAAGCACCTAAAACATAGTGTGGCCCCCTCCAACTGCTCAAGGCGACTCACACTGCCGATTAGTATGGAGGACAACTTTTCATCAGGAGTTAGAGGTAACAAAGGAGAATCCCTGAGTAGTCACAGGTCCGCCATATATTAGGGAATGAACACCTAAGGAAATACACGACCGGCAGCAGATCCCCAAACGGGTCCCCAAGGATATCAAACCGGCACGCCAAAAGGCTGAAACTGGAGGAAGTAGGGGAGCAGCTGAGAACGGCGGGGTTGAGGAGGAAGCTGTAAGAGGACAGGTGAGGTCATTGAAGAATATGATTAGAGTGTTCTATTCCGGGTTTAGAGTGCAAGAACAAGCATTCACCCTGGGGTTCCCGCGTCCGGGTTTAGAATAGGGGGTTTAGAATTCGGGCAGTCACATTGGGGGTTTAGTGTTCGGAGTTTGTTGGTTTACTGTTTAGACTGGGACGTCTGGTTTTAGGTTTTGGGGGTCGCGGTCGAGGCGTTGGGAGTTCTGGGTTCAGAGTTTAGGGTTCAGTGTTCCCGGGGTTTAGGGTTTGGCTTTAGATTTAGGGTTTATGGTTTAGGGTCAGGGTTTAGGGGTCAGGCTTCAGGTTTCAGGGTTCAGGGTTTAGGTTAGGGTTCTCCGGGCTTAGAATTTAGGTTTACGCTTTAGTGTTTAGGGTTTCACCTTCTGGTCCCTGTGGTTACGGTTCTGGGCTTAGTGTTCTGGTTTAGGGTCTAGCTTTTTGTTGTTAGGCTTTATGGTTCAGGGTTGAGGCATTAGGCCTCTGCGATTAGGCTCATTTTTAGGTTCTGGATCATTGTTTTTAGGGTTCAGCTTTATGGCTCATCCTTTAGGGTTCAGTTTCACCTCTTGTCTCCAGAGTTGTCCGATTAGCATTCAGTTCTCACAGCCTCAGCCTTCCGCTCTCAGCTGCTAGGTTTACGTTTAAACTCCATACTTTAATCTTCAGGGGGATGTTTTTGGGCCTACGCCTTATGGCTCAGCTTGTTGCTTCATCTGTCATGAGCTGTGGATTAGGTTCTAGATTTTATTGGTTCAGGATTTAGGATTTAGTTGGTAGGGGACGAGATTCTGTTTAGGGCTCAGGTTTTTTCAGATTTTGCATTTCTTGGTCTGCTTGCCTGGATTACAGTCTAGGTTGTTGGGTCTATTTGCTCTGCGGTAATGCGTAGCTTATACGTCTCATTTCTCCGGATTTATGGACTTGTCCTTATACACCGGGGTTAAGATTTTGACTTATCGTCGTGGGTTCAGTTTCTCACATTCAGCTCTTATGGGCGGACACTGTTTTTTCTTTTTTTTATTCCTACTCTTGTTCATTACTATTTATTTCCATTTACGCTAACGAAAGGTGGTATCAATATACTTGCTGACATATCCTGATCAAATGTAAATATGAAGCAGTTGCATTTCCTAACAAGAATCCTACGCGAGCTTCTATCTGTAGGCGACGAATTAGAACCATCTTCTCCTATAGGCCTATACTTGTAAGGAAAATATTCGTATCGTCATTTTATATCTTGACTTTTGTTCTATTTTATCTTTTCCAGTACATAATGGGAACCCGGAAATGCCTTGACGCATCAGATGAGGTTTTATTAATAAGACACTACTCTCTATAATTTACTCTAGACATATATTTCCTTTCTATGTCATTGCAGTGATTCTTTTGCTTTCGAGGATTAGTCTTCTGAGGGGTCTGTATTTTATATTTTAATTTTTAATGAGGACATGGCAGTTATTAAATAAGCAGAGGCTATCTATTTTCTGAATCAACTTTTCATCTCTGTATATTAAGATAATGATAGTAATAGAAAATGACTCTATTTGAGTGGTAAATTTTCTCTGTTTTGATAGATTTATAATATAGGATTCAATAGTAAATCTGATTGTAATATAACATTTTAGATGTCTGTTAAGCAGTCAAAAGAGGAGCAAGTCCATAATAAGATCATTTTTCCTTTTTGTATGAGAATTCTGTACTCCATACAATTCATATGTAAATATTGCTCTTACGGAACTATGTGTTGACGTCAGTTGAGAGGCATATGAAGAACAGAGATGAATATAATTACTACCGAAGACAAAGAATTACAACTGTTGCCGTTATAAATTATGGCATCCCTTATGATATGAGCTATGATGTATAGACGAATTTATCATATGGTGATAATCAATGATATCAAAGTACAAAATTCTGATTAATACTACGAACCCTTCTGTCCTTATTTTAAAGAAGTACCTGTAATTTTATGTTGGAATAATAGAAAATTTGAATAAGTATATGGATTCATCTATATAGGTATCTACATATCTGTAACTATTGCTGCACTATATTATCATTAAAATTGAGGTAATTAATTATTCATTGGCAACAATAATATAACAAGACTGTAATCTTACCCAGACATAATCGATGATTACAATTGAATTGTCATTTTATTTGGGTATACTAGGATTTTGTCTATCGCGAGTAAACAGCTGTTTCTTATAGAATCACATCCATGACCATGATATATTATAGTATTAATTGGTATTGTAGAAAAATTATTCTGTCGTGAACAAACCGGTGAATTTACAGAATCCCCAATAATTTATCGTAGAGTTATAGAGAAATAAGACATCTAATTATTTTAAGGATCACAGCACGGACCCCTACTACTGGCTTCAGGAGGAGTTGTCTCTAATACATCATATGGGGATTCTAGATGTACTCTATATTTTCTTAATTCTCCATATTAATCCGCCATGTATAGATTTTTCGGCATGGGAGAAGATCTCTATGATAAGGGTAAAGAAAAATATTATGACAAACAAGGCTTCCTGAGGTAATAAAAGAACATTTTGTATCTTCAGTAAAGAATGTACAAAGAAGTCAATACATCAGAGAAATTTCTCGCTTTTTGTCTGTTACACTGAAATGGACACTCGACTATATTCCTAATATATGGAAAAAAATAGCCCCATCCAGTAAAATCCTTTAAGTAGTCCCTAATTAACCTCTCTATAAACCCTTATTGGTCAGATCAGAGGAAAAAATTCCAGCTTATGCATGAGAGAGCTTAACTATTAGTTTAAATTTAATTATGACGAATGAAGAAAGATTTATTGCTCACTCATTTATATATCTTATTTCTGTGACTTAATGTAGTTACTAATGCAAATATTTACAATTATTTACATGGTATTTTCATAGATCAATTTATTCTTGAAAGGTTATAATGGAATTTTATTACCCATACGAAGAGTCTTGCTCCCTTCCATTATATATACTCTAGAGAAATATGAGAAATGTTATCTCAGGAGAGGAGTGACAAAGTCGATATGAATCCCGTACCAAGCCCCTACCTTCCACTAATGTGAGAGGGGATCCTCAGATTAGGCGAATTGCTTCAGACATAGGAAGGCAAAAAAGTGGGAAATGTTAGTAGTGATTCAAAGATAGGCTTTACTCTAGCAGAGGGATCATATTGAAGAGGATATTTATAATGGCCTATTAGGACATTGCAAATAGACACTTTATAAATATTCATCCGATTCAGGGAGGACAACCCATAAGTATTAATGAACGGCCTTTTGGACGGGTAGATGTGTATTTAGTAAGTGTAATATCTAACAATAGAATTCTAAGTTGTCTTATTGCTCAGTAGCACTGTTGTTACAGTTATATTAGAATCCTATCTTCTGTATGACCAGGATTGGAGCAGGAATAACATCTTCGGGATATATTTAAGGAGTAATCAGACAATCATGCCTTAACAACGAGAAAATAAAGAATTTGTACATTTCAGTTGTGAGCGAAATATATGCTCAGAATGGGAAATCATCTGACATTATTT